GCTGAACTTGTAAAAGTAATTTATGTATCCCACTGTGGGATAGGAGGAAAGACAGATGGGAGCAGACAAAAAAGGATGCTAAAATGGACTAGACCTCCGGCTGCTGACACACAGAATGGAAAGATCAGCACTGGCAACTGGCACAATCTAAGAACTATTAATTTCAGTTCCCTCAGACTAAAACAGCCCAGGATTCCTTAATTCTTACTTCTTCGTGTAGCATCCATCTAACTGCAACCAAATAAAGATAAACATATTATTCTTAAAAATAGCACAGGTAACATCTCCCATATTTTTCAGAAATAGCAAGTGCTATTTGAACAGCTTTAACAGTAAAATCAGGCGTCCCCTTATAAATACATAGTGTATGATACAGGGATTCAATTTTAGATCATTTTATGGCAACTGAATGATATTTAAATTTTTATTGCATTCCTAACAATATGTAATTTTTAAACACACTCGTGTTAGGGATTTTATCTTACTCTCTGCCTTGGAAATTTCAGTTCAGATTATGGATATTCCTTCAGCCTAAGTATTTATGCATTCAAGGTTGTGTGTGGCATATATAGAAGCATAGAATTGCTCGGGTTGGAAGGGATCTTAAAGATCATGGAGTTCCAACCCCCTGCCCTGGGCAGGGACACCTCCCACCAGACTAGGTTGCTCCAAGCCCCATCCAGCCTGGTCTTGAACCCCTCCAGGGATGGGGCAGCCACAGCTTCTCTGGCCAACCTGGGCCAGCGTCTCACAACCATCACAGTTAAGAATTTCCTCCTAATATCTATATGTCCCCTCTTTCAATGTAAAACAGCTACCCCTCATCCTATGGCTACGCTCCCTCCCCATCTCTCCTGTAGGCCCCCTTTAGGTAGGGGGGGGGTGTTATATAAAAGCTTATGCAAAATATGAACCAAAAAAGCAAAATATACTGTCTCTAGCTTGGCTGGCTGTTTTAATTAGGTTCATGTTTACCCGATGGAGTGCTTAGGCTTCCTGGTCAAGTACCAAGGCTCCCTGCATTGTGCAATGTACTGGCATGTTATGAAGTCAGTTCCTCCTACACACAGTTCATAAGCGACAATACAACAGGTGGATGAGAGACTTGTTGGGTGAGGGTGTTTTGGAAAAATGAGATAACAACAAACCAAAGAGGTCAGTGGAAAAAGAGCAGTCAGTTTGGTCCCTACCATTATTGGGTAGTTGATTTCTCTTGCAGATGTTTTGGGTTTTCTTGGATTGGAAAGATAGATCTAGAAACAAGCAAGGAAATACATACATGCATTGAGGGGTAAAAAAAAAAAGGGGGGGGGGACACTAAAAAATTGATCTTCAGTGAGCTAGGAATAGCATCCTGTACATCCTTAGATAGCGTCCTGTATCCTTAAATACATAGGCAGACCAGAATATAAGAGACAACACACACAGGCACTATATATTATGTTATAGCTAATTGCATACACTTCTGTGAGTTCTCCTCAGTTGTAAGCTTCTGAGGCAAGACTACACAATGTCCTATTTACAGAGCATAACAGAATGAACCCATAACCCTGGTCACGGCCCCTGTATGATACATAGATATTATAAATACCTTCTGCCAGCATGGGATTATCTTTTCCTTTTTCAATCAGATTTCTCCCAACTCTGCAGACAGGCCAAACACGTCAGCTAGAAGCACTGCTGAACCCTGTGCTTGTAACCCACACTGCCAAAATTTAGAAGAATCATCATTCCTATGAAGTTAATGGCATGACATATAAAATAATTTAGTTACCATTTATTCTGCTTCATGTTGGGCTTCATGCTGGGCTTCAAGTCAGCACATGACTGATTTGTTTTAAAATCCTTTCTGAATACCAGCCACACACGGGGGTGTGGGATATATGTAGGCAATGTTTGTAGCCATGTCACCTGGGGCAACGTCACAGGGGATTTGACAAGATAGGCGGGTTTGGGGTTTGGCAATACTTGGATAAGGAACCCACAAGATTACTGCAAGAGATAATGCTGAGTATTTGTGTTCTCAGTGCTGTTACACGGAAACTCTGACACTGCCAGAAGCTGTGGGGTACTTTTCCAAAAATAATGGCCATCTAAAATAGCAAGCATGAAGAATGGCAGGCTGCTCCTGTCTGTGTGTCTCAATGAAGTCATTTTCTCAGGAAGAGCAATGTGATACTGAAGCTAGGAGTTTCGGGGCTCCTCAGTCATGGTTTGCTGGGGAAGAGTTTCAAATGGCAAATGAGAAAGGTGGGAATTTGTGCACAGAAACTGTGAATAACAGCTGAGCAAGTTCCCGGTGCTTTGCAGCCTGGATGGGAGGACAAGCCAAGCAGTGTCAGTCAGCAGCAGCTGGAAAAGAAAGAAAATAGGCAAAACCATACAGAACCCATATCCCTAAGTTTTTGAAAGAGAAGTCTGTGGTCAGACATGAGAGGGGTAGGAGAAAAAAGAGTTAAATGAATCACGAGCCCAATATACAGAAATGGTAAAAGATGAAGAAAAGGAAAGGGCAAGAAATCCCATTTTCTAGCACAAAAATAGGTGAGGGAGGCAAACAGTGAAAAATGAAATTTCAGGTTACCTTGCTGCACTGAATGTATGAATATCTGGATTCAGTTGTTATTTGAAATGAAGACAGAAGAAAGGAAAAGGCATAAAATCCTCCTTACAAGCAGAGAAACAGATGAGGCAGAAAGAATGAAAAATCTAATTTCAAGTTACCTTGCTGCACTGGATGTTTTTATAGTTTGACTCAGTTCTGTTAATTTAGATATACACGAGCCTGTATTCTTCTCTACTCCTTTCTCTACTTTCCCCTCTTCTCTACTTCTCCCTTCTCATTCAAAATTTATTTCTAATGACCAATTTTTCACTCAGGCAAGTGCACGTGTTACTACAGTAAAATGCAGTTGTTTATGGATAGCTGAAGGTAAGAGGACTAAAATCTGGTGCAAGATAAATCGAGAGGGAGTTGTTACAGTGTTTTCAGTATGATGAGGACAGGCTGTACAGCCTGACCTGCCATTCTGCTTGTTCTAATTATATGAAGATATTAAAATTGGAAGGTGTTACCCTAACTTAGACAATATTCTGAAACAACTATGCATTCATTTAATGAATAATAACAAATTTGAATCTCTGTGTTTATGTATACCACTAGAATTAAACTTCTTGGAGACTAAGTATTTGTCCTCAAATGACTATTAATAAAAAAAAAAACAAAACCAAAAACAAACCCACCCACAAATAAAAGCTGAAAAGACATTTGAGTGTATAATAATAAGCTAAACCTTTATTATTATTAAACCTTTAATGTAATTAAAACATTTTAGAAGGATTCCATCTAAAACCTAGAAAGCACAGTAGAGCTGGGGAAAAAAAATCAAAAGGTATTCAAACTTGGAAATGAACAGGGCAAGAGATGCGACTATTGAACTCATCACTTCTTCAGTGGATGTATGACTCCAGTATAGCCACTGCAAATCCAGAGACTGGTGCGACAAAGTCAGAAACATAAGTGAGCTAAACTGACAAGAGTTTGGGAAAGCAACATGAACCACAGCTAGTGAGAGGAGAAAGGGCACTTAAAAAGAAGTTGGCATTGTTCTAACATAAATTTATCTGTATTAATGTAATTCTCGGTGCTCATGAGGGTTTGAAGTGCCACAAGAACAGATCTGAAACCCTGGTACATCAGTTTGAGAACTGTGGATCGTGGACCACTTTCTGGGCACACAGCAGCCCTGCAGAAATCACGTCCCCCTCCTTTTTCCAGGTGTAGCTTTTCTTCTACACAGCTCTGCAGTGTAAGGAGCACAATCTTATTCTAAGGATACCACATCACTTTGTCGCAGCTTTATACATTTTCAAAAGGTAACTGCAGAAATGTGTGAAATCATGCAACTGTATATTTGCTTCAGGGAAAAGTGAAGTGATCCTGAATTTCTACCAACATGGGTAAAGATTAGCTCTACAGAGTTCATATTATGTACTTTAGAGAATTGTCACTAAAATCAGATCCAATCTTCTTATGCAAAGACTTACAGGATTAGGTCCTCAGCTTTATAGATTCAGGCTGCTTCATTGACATCAACACGCTGTTGGGAATTAGTGTTAACTGAGAATCTGGCTTGCTACAGTTAGGCTTAAGTGGTTCAAAATTAACTAAATGAAATGTGAGCTACATTTCATTACACATGAAAAGAGTAGTATCAGAAGATACCTCTGTGCAGAGTAACACTCCAAACTAAAGTCTGATACCAAATTCACCATACATCCCAGAAACACAGAAGTGGATGGGACCATCTGACTCCCAGTCTGCCTTCATGATGTCTAGTCCAGAGAGGTCAAAAGATCATCCATTTTTAAAAAATGCTTCCCAATACCCTACTGCAAGCTTTCAGCACATAGCAAAGACCAAAAACTAGAATTTCTTTCTTTTTTTTTTTTTTTAAATGAATGACAGTAGGTCTCTTCACAGATAAACATTAGAAGTACTGTACTTCCAAAATGAGTTACATTGTGTTTCCCGTTATTGCCTCTAATGGCCTGCAGCAATCTTCCTCTTTGAATTTGAAAAAAACAAAATTGAACTTGGTTTGATTTTATTGCTATTGTTCAAACTTGAGCCCATTGCTACTACTTTAGCAATACAGTTTCTATTTGGGGTGGTATGCAACACTGACACCAAACAAATCAAGAAACAGGTTTTGTAAGGACCATGATTTCAGGCTGACAAAGAAAAATCCATAAAAGGGCTCTGCAAAGTCTAAAAAAAATCAAGAAATGAAATCTTCAAAGTAATTGTTTATGTTTTTTTTTTTAAACTGCATACTAGGTTTTGTGTACCATGCATTTTTGATTATATACTTCTTAACTATTAACTGTGTCTTAGAAAATAAATGAATGTTGCTACTCCTTGTATTTTTCAGAAATTAATGGAATGACATGTGCCCATAAAACAATCTTTAACTGCGCCCATTTTCTTCTATCTGCAGATTTCATCTAATCTTTGTACTTGATTCTAAGCTGAAGATTCTTCTGAATAAAGTCCACGTTTCTAAGAACAAGCAGTTCAGGTATTTCTATTCTAGTTATCACCGTACCACAAGAACTGAAATAGCATCAATTAAAATTGTCATTGACCTCTTACAGAGCACTGATATGAGTGCCATTGTCCTGGTGTCCCAGCTGCTTTTTATACAACAGGGTATTTTATTTTCTTTGAACAGCTGATAGAAAGATTAAACTGTGCAATGTTTCCAATTTAAAACAGTTTATGTTCTACAGTGGATTTAACTACTTCATTAAATCATTGATTATGGATCTCCTCACAGAACTATTTTCAGTACTTTCCTTCAATCTGTAAATTTTTCACTTATGGATCTAATAAAATTATCAGGAAGCTTAATTTCATTCATATGCCAAGTATCACAAAGATGTAATTAAAAATCATTACCACTATTCCATCTGCCACTGCTATGCACTGTCAGTGCACCTGACTCCCCTGTATGCAGAGTGTTAAGAAGTCTGCAAATTAATGCAATATAAATGGAGAAAATGTTCATGTTATCTAAATACAATTTAAACTCTGTATTTCTTTTACAGCATTTCTTACTGCTCTTTCTCAAGCCTAGGAATCTCTGGTCCAGTGCACAACTAGTGTGCTTTCAGTGAAATGTTTCTCCTTTCTTTTTGGGAATATTGCCAATGCACTTCCTTGCCTCTTTGGGATGCAACTGTTCTTCTTCACGTCTATGTTTTGTTCCATTTAGAGCAGCGTAATGTTAGACCCTTTCTGCTGATGTGTATGCATGCAGAATTAATAGACTTCATCTACTACAAAAAGATTTTGGCAGCAGACACAGTAAGCACATAACTCTGTTAGTGACTTGGTTACCCTGGTTGCCAGCCACATTCAATATTGGCCTCAAGGTGCTTCCTCTTGACCTTTAAAGCCTTGTGGAATCTCGACCCAAGTGCTTTCTCCAGGGCAGCAATTCCCTCACCTTCCTGAGTGCCAAACAGCTCGCATGAGTCCCCTCTGTCTCACCAGCAGGTATACAAATATGCCCCACTAACTAGCAACTTGACTACACCTACTGTCTTTCTCCTGCAGAAATGTTCAACCCACTGTGATCACCAAAGTTACATATTGCATTCAAGATTTTTTTCCCCTTTCTTTTCCCTAAAATGCATTTTTGGCATCCAAAGTTACACTGAAATTGTTTTTATGTAAATGCTATATCTGGTTGTTACAAATTAAAATTGTCAATATTGGTCACACTCTTCCCTTAACAAATACCAAGCTTTAAGAAATAGGTAACTGATCCTGATGGCAGTTCATATTACTGGATGAAAAGATTAAAAATAGTGCGTGCTCTTTTGTATAAATTTGTCCACTTCATCTGCCTCTATTTCAATCCAGTAAAATTTTCAAGAAGTCATGGTTGTATGCAATGCGTAATTCAAGGACAACACCAATTCCTTATTCTTTTGACCCTTATATCCATGAATAAAACTGTATGTATTCTGATTCACTTGTATACCAACTAACAGGTCTTGATTCTGCAGAGCTCGTATACCTGTGTTCCTCTTCATAGTCACAACCCACCCTACCTAGTCTCCAAAACTGTGCTTAGTAGCCAGGTATTTGCTGGACTGGATCTAACAGCATGATTTCTATTTTAAAAGTTTTTACTTTAGGAAAACTAGGTTATATTCTGAAAATAAAATACAATTTAAACCAATTTATAGCTAGCTTTTTGGGGGAAAGGTCTAGATTATGTTAAAGATGTGGTAGTTCCCTGAATGTCCTTTCTGCCCTATGACCCCTTCAGCCTTAATGGCACTCACCTCAATTCTGCCAAGAGTAACAAAATCCAACTAGTATGAGAGTTTGCATCTAGAGTCATAAATGCATCTGCAAAAAAGATATATGCAAATATGTAGTCACAATTGCATTTCAAAATACTATTTTAAGAACCAAACTCAAAATAACTGAAAAGACTGTCAAACGATAGTTAATAAATATGTTCACTAATTTTTTTTTCTTATTTACTTTGCAGGAGTTTTGTACACCAGTTCTCTCACAAAAATGGTTTTCATAGATAAAAAATTTAAGCTTCTTTTTAACCAGTCCATACTTCAGCTTCCCAGTAAAAGTTCAGCTTTTCCAAATATCACCTCTTGGGAAAAAACTTACAACCCCTGTTTCCAGAGAAACACAGCTGTGTTTGAATGGAGGGCAGAGCTTGTCTTTTTAAAATCCTTGCAATACTTAGCAAAGTACTGACAGAAGCCTGCGTTACAGAAGACATTTCTGACCATTAAAAGGCAGCATAAAATGAGAAGGCTGATGCTGGCCTCTTTTTATCTTACTGGAAAGTTTGGCTCAACTCCAATATTCCCCCACTTTAACTGTCTGGGATCATTTTCCTTGAAGTGTGTTTCCTAGTCTTATTCCATGTGCCAGAGCTTTCTGTGACAGTCACAGGTTAACATAAAGTGAATGTGACAAAACCCGCAAGCGATAACTTCGCTGTGATTGCTGCTACAGGTACGCTGTGGTTGCTACAAATAAGCAATCATTGTTATAATAGTAAAGGAAGGTGTGATTTAGTTTGCGCTTGTCAGAGGGTCTGTAGGAATTTTCACAACAGAGAAGCAACACTGCTTTTATTTTAGCAACAAGAGCTGTTCGAGTGATGGTATTTAAGGAATGAGGTCACGTATTCAAGCTGTTTAGATACAACAGTGTTCAAAGATGTCAGTCATGCTCCAAGGAGATGAAAAGTGCATCAGCTTATCAGCCAGGCATTTCTACTGCTGGTGTGCTTCTCGCATTTAATAAAGCAAGGCACGCAAAGCGAACTCCATCCTGGCACAGAAAGATGCTGCTGAAGCCCTTTACACTATATAGGGCAGTTAGGAAATACAAATTACAAGATTCGATACATGTCTCTGCCTACACTTCAATGGTTCAAGAAAAAAATTAAATCAGTGTTCTTACCTGAATCTGAAATTTTTCTCTGTATTGAGATTTCCGTAAGATAGATACTGTAGCAGGAAATCCTAGGCAACCAAACACATTTCAATTACTCTTTTGGTGAAACTTATTCAGCAGTGTGAAGTACTAATCTGGCTTAATAACTTTATCCAGATATATTTAACTCACATGGAAGACTTCGCCCGAGATTTTTGGCTAATGGTAGAATATATTTGAGTGTTCCCATGCACCCATGTAAAGACCAAAATCTACTCCTTTAAGTTTCCCATTATGTAAAAAATTAGGTCAATGGCTGATATGGTCTGAAATTAGTTGGTATGACTGTAACCTCAGTAGAAATCTGCTTGATCACAACTAGATGTAAATTTGATATTTTTAGAAAAAGATCAACAAGTTGTTGATAGTAAAGTGGTCCAAATCTGATTTACCATATGCAATACAACTGAAATCAACAGGATTATAAACACTGATGCCAGATTTTATTTGGCCCACAACCTTTACAATAGATTTCTTTTCAAATGTAGTCAGTTTAAAAAAATCTCCCTTTTCTAAATACACCTATCATGAATACATACATTCCTAAATACATCGGGCACAGACAAGTTTATCTGAAAAATTTAGATTTTGTCTCCCAACATACATAAATCCAATGTTTTTACACTCCTGTAAATTTCTTCTTAATGGTCAGTGATATGTCCTTTCTCAAAACACATTTTAAAGAGTATTTGCCACTGACGTTTTTATAAATGTATTTCTGATATGTGTTTAAATTTTCATATCTGCTACAACACAGCCAAATTTTAGTCATTGTAATAATTTCTCTGAAGAATTTATGCTGATCAACACTCCATGCTGAAAATATTTACATGCATGAGTTCAATAAAAGTATTCACATAAATAAAATAATTCACTTGTATAAATATTGCAGACTTCATCCAAAAAGATGATAGCACTCAGTAATAAAACACTGGAATTGCCTTTAATACACACAGGATAAACCAAGCTGCCAGGCAGTGATGTACGTTAAATTTTTATGAAGCAGGTTATGCCAAATATATTTCTTCTGACATCATAAATGCAAAACAATTTATCTCCAGACCTTACACATCTAGCAGACACTTACATTACACTGTAGAAATTTACATAATTACAAAGATACCAAAAATGGGTCTTTGCCCATATTTCAAGAAATCTTACTAAGTTTCTAGCTTCCCCTAAATTGTATGTTTGTGTATTGAAGCAACAAGATCTTAACAGTGATGAAAAATATTTTCAGCCTCGTTTGATTTATATTGCTTCATGTTTACACAGAAGCCAAAAATATTCAACAAGCCTCACCTGTACATTTGAATTGTACTCAAGGAAGTAAGCAAGCCTTTGCTCATTAACACCAATACATAAGTGCATAAAGAATTAGCTCTAAAGAGAGGAGCTGAATTTCAGGAATTAGCTCTGAGAACTTGCTGAAATGCCGGCTCCCATTATTTTTGTACAGCCCCAAGGGACTGTAGAATTAGCCCTAGTACAATACCAGAAATCTAATAATACTTAAGGATAATTGAAAGATATCACAACTTCAGACTTTCCCATATGTGATCTTATTTACTATTTGTTCCATTGAAGAGGAAAGAAGATGGATGGGTAAAAACCTTTAATAGGGATTTGATTCACAGCAGTTGTGCACACTGCATGATATAGCCCTTCAATTCAAAACATTTTTCAAGCATTAAAAATATCAAGCAGTGAGTTAGACAGAAAATTATTTCACTAAATTCTGACCAAATAAAGTTAACAATCCAGTAATTACTGCTTCCCCACTTTTAACCCAGACAACAACCATCTTAACTGTAAGATAGTTGGTATTTATCTCTAGACATAAAGAAGAAATGTGGAATGTCCAACTCTAGAAATGATCAGTGAAAGTACTGCCTTAGGAAGTACTGAAGGGAGTAGCCAGTAGGTAAACGGAGACAGCTAAAACTGAATGTTTTGTTTGAAAAAAAAAAATTCACTCACATGACTAAAATTATTCTTGTTCATTTCCATGCTGTATCAATCATTCTTTTTGTTCTCTTCCCCCACAATAGTGGACATAGATGACTTTTGTTCTTTCCTTGTTCCAAAATGAAATTAAAGCCTGTCTCAAAAAGACAGATTTTTCTTTCAGGAACTTTCATCTTGCTCTTTTCGCACTGTTCATTGTCTTCTTTGTTTAGTCTATGTATATAAGTCTCTGTACCTGAACCTGCCCCAAAATAAAATTATGGCATAGGCTAAAAATAGAAAGCAAATTGTATCTGGTCTCCCTGTTGGAAGTATAATTTGGTTATATTCATTGAAAAGAAGGAAAACTTGTTGCTAACTACTGGAAATACATTTCAAATGCACAAACCTGATTGAAAGACAGTTTCACTAGATAGTAAGCCATTGAACAGTTTCCCTGCTCTCCAAAGGCTCCCAGTGGATATTCTCCTTTCTTTTGAACTCTCCCCATGGTGGAAGCTGATGCAGAGGCACAGAGCTCTTATTAAGGAGCATTTACATTAACATTGGTTCTACGCAGAGATTTCACTCAGGAAGACTTAACAATAGTCATGAATTAATCCTTCAGTTGACGTAAGCTGTCATGGCAACTTTTTTTGGTTTGGGTTCTTTTGGGTTTGGTGTTTTGGGGGTATTTTAATTTTTTTTTACAACAAGTAAAACGAGCAGTACAACGAGCATCCGTGTTGAGATATAACAGATTAGAGGTGACAATTGCTTAGTTTCTCAGTCATCCAAGATGCAGAATTCTATCAGTGCTGGAAATATAGTTTTCAAGTTGGAACTGAACTACCTTATTACACAGCATCAAGGCTATGTTAATAAGGATTCTGATAAGCATAATTTTTTTCAAAGTTTTTGACCAAAATTCTCTTGTCTGTACAATACAATAAACATCTCAATAACCTCCCAAACGAATGAAACCCATCTTAGGGTGTTCATTAAGCAATTCTGAACCAAAGTATTTTACTTCCATTGTGTATTGTTTGTAGGGTACTAAGAGCATTTTACCACTTCATGGTATAAAACATGCTGGGTGATCTACCATGTTCCAATGTCTCATTTTATGGCTGAACAAAAGCTATCACAGTTATTTTACATATCTGATTCAGAAAATCTGCCATTGCTTCTTACAGATGGAGTTCAAATAGAAATGAATGACTAAGTCTATTTCAGTTATTTACCAGATAAACTAGCAATTACGAGTGTTTATAATTTTATGTTAATTGAAGGTACATTATAATTGTGCTAACATGCTACACTTATTTTGCCCAGGTCCTTAACTACAATAACCAGCAAACCTCGATTAAATTAATTAACCTCTGTAATTTATGCTTGCCCATGTTAATACACTTGTTTCTTGTCAAGAAGCAGACTTACTTAACTGTAAATGCAAGCACAGCAAAGTCCAGAAGAGTGAGCCTGGCACAGCCTCTTCGTTTCTCAATTTTTATTGGGTAAGCATCACACAACAGCTTTAAAAAGAAATATCCCAGACTGCAATGTGTTGTCATCTTTCAATCAGCTGTAGTATATATTACCTCACAAACCATTCTTCCTTTTGACGCAGCAGAGCCTTCTCCAGTTTGAACTTTCACCAATGTATCTCTGAGAATAGTGTCAGATTTAGCCCAGTCAGACAATAATGCTGAGTAACTCTGAGCCTCACTGGGAGTCACTTCAGCTGCTGTCACCTCTGAGTCATTACATTTTCTGAGGAAGAGGCATTCTCTGCTATCTCAAGCTTTCTTTGCCACATCAATGCTGAAGTCAAAGTACGCTTGACAACTTCCTGCAATAAAACAAAAAGTCCAAATAAGGTCCTCAGGGGACAGAACAATAGCCAATTCCTAGCCATGACTTATTAAATACTACTGCCTTCTTTTATTTTCTTTTCTTTACAAATAAGGAGTCAAATTCTTTTTTAAAATCATACACCCAAATCCTCAAAATGAAAACTTTCTAAAAGCAACTTCTGACCTCACTTCAACACACTCTGTCTTCATTCTGTTTGGTCCACATCATCTTCCTTTTTTCCTCTATAGTATTTCTGTCTGTGCTTGTTTCCTTCAAATGTCTACTAATTTTTTAATGTTTTTTAAACAAAAACATGTTTTCATTTTTTAATTTTGGGAAATATTGAAAAAAAATCATTGCTGCATAGTAAAGAGGACACACAGCTTTGAGATGATAGCAAATCTTTCCCCCAGCCTTAGACTCCAGACCACCCCAACTCCCTAGAGACTCTTTCCACCAAGTTCAACAGCCATTAAATCTTCATAGCTTGACTTCACCATTTTCCAGACACATACAAGGCACTATTCTATACTACAACATGCTTTACTGTTCTTTCTGGCTTACTTCTAGAGTATTAGACAGCAGAATTCATATTCCGTCTACTACTTACCTTCCTTTGTAAACATAAAATTTATCTCCACATGTTACCTAGTTAAAGCAAATCAATTTATTGTTGAAGACTGTGGGTTTCTTATTTAGTGCCAAGAGAGATGAAAAGTCACACTGTTCTGTGCATATAGATATGGCTTGGTGGAAAAGGGAAGTAAGTTAGGGAAGAATGACAGCTCAAAGCTGTTTGATGCTTTCCTTCAAGTGCGGCCTACATATTAAAAGCAAGTGTTCTAGGAGGCCAATTCCAAACAATAGACAGATACAGATTTTGTTATTTTACAGGCAGCAAGCCATTGTGCAATCTATAAATACCTGTATCTTCATGATTAGCTAAAATCAGTCTATACTACATAAACTACATGTCACTCATTCTACATAGGCTGCCAACATTTATATTCTTAAACCAATGAAATCTTGAAAACACAAGCAGTAGCATCTGACTCCTTCCACAAAAAGGATATGCAAGCATAAGCCAAGAAAGAAGCAGTCATAAGAAAACCTTTTTCGGCTCTTAAAATACTAAGACATACTCTGCAGAGTGCTGAAATGGCTTTTCTTTCTTAACCAACCTAGGTAATGCCTTTGTAATACTGGCAAATCACAGATAAGCTTTCTATAATAGCTCCTTTTTAAAACTTCACACACCTGTGAGAGTCCAAGTACCTTCAGGTCACTTCAAGATTTGGTCAAGAGAAACTCTCTCTCATTTGCAGTGTAGTCAGAGTTTGTCATCTCTTCACAAAATGAAATATATTTTTTTGGATTGAGCTTAAAACTGACAATAAGCTTATCACAGACTATTAAGAAATTTTAATGTTTTTGTTAAAACAAACCAAGATATCCCTCAGCTCTAAGAAACATGTCACCCTACAGCCTCGTCAAAGCAAGGACTTACGGTCCTTGGACAGCATTTTTCTTTTCCTAATGGAATTATAAAGGTTTCTTTTTTCCTCTGGTTTTGTTTTTTTTTTCCTTTCTTGTACAGATAGCAGTATTCTCAGCTCATGAACCTTCCGCATTCTTTTTCAGGACTTCAGAAGTGAAATACTGACTCAACACACTTCATACAAACATTGTGATATTGTGTATGCCAAGCTCTCTGCAAATAGATTGCAAACATAGGATATCAGGGAACTTACTCCACAGAGGTTTCCTTGAAGCTGGAATTATTTGCTAAGCCTGAAGGAGAAACTAAAACTTTACATTTCTTAACTTATCAACAAAAAAAGCTGTTTGTTTTACATATTTTAGATCATGAGTATCTTGAAATCTGAAGCCTTCTAAAAATGTAGATGGTGGACTAAAACAATGTAGAAAACGTGACCATTTTTGCAGGCTCTTCTCTCTCTGTGATGTTTACACAGCATGTTTGAGTACGCACAGTTGTAGCTGTTTAAAGAGGAGCCAGGTAGTCATGATGGTTGCAGAAATAAAGCGTCCAGAGCGTGGTAGGTCACAATGAGGCTAGCCATGCCTTGTTACTGCCTTGGGGATGAGCAGCGTTGGGGCATTTTTTTTCCCATAGACACCCCAGAAGGAATTCTCACTTGGTAACTGAAAGGACTCCTTGTTTCCTCTCAGTCTCTCGCTGTTACAGTGCAAGAGCTGAGCACAAACCTTATAGATAGTGAGTAATCATCTAAAAAGACATCGCGTTGATTTTCCCAGTGAAACGTAGCAGCTACAGAAAATCCATTTACAGCTTGTCAAGGATGGGTGAAAGAAAGAAAGGAAAATCACAGAGGAGCTAATTCTTCATCTTTTTTCCTTTTTAGTCATTAGAGCCCATTAAGCCCAACTACAAGTCCCCTGTTAAGGACAGAAGACCGCTGCAGATATAATGGCAAATTCAAACGTGGGGAGACCCCTCGCAGTACTCTGTACACTGCCACCTGCCTACCACCAGCTTACTGTTGACAATACTTCATTGCCGTAAGTATCTTCAATTAAGGGTTTTGAGCCAGCTGTGCCCTCTTGGTTTGAGTCTTGCAATGTGTCACTGCAGCAATACAAATATAGCCAGTCCATTTCTCAGCTTTTGGTTGAGAAAATGTTCTGTTTTTTCACCACTGGGACCAAATTTTTTTTTTCAGCTATAATCCTGCAGTCTTAGCATTTCCTAGTTAGGGCTACACTTCTAAAAATCCAAGGGCAGAGCTGACCCTTACTGGTTAAATGCTGGTGTACAGCTCAGAAAGGAATCCACAACTCAGCCTTGATTTTTTCATCCTCAGAGCTCATAAACGCATGACAGGACAGAAAAAGTGGCCAGAAAACAAAATGTTAAAGATACTACAGCATCAAATTCCAATGAGTGTTTTACTGAGAATAAACAGCGAAATTCTACAAGAATTTACTCAATGTAGTACTAAAGCAACTTGCCTTTTCAAGGGTATGGAGACATATTCAGTAAGCCTTGAGTCAGGTGCTGCTGGCTAAGACTATACAATATAACAGTAATCCCGAGTGCTGTAATTTTAATACAACATTGACTGATGCTTTGGAACGTAATTCATAACTTAACACAAGCTTTTTATTTACTGCTTAAGAATACGGCAGTCAAGCCTTCAGAAAAAATTCCTGACACAACATAGATTAGATGCAGAAAGGTTACCTCTCAGGGCAGTAAATCTAGTGCCAAAAAGTAAGTTAGTTTTTGTGTGCATGGAAATAATGTGGCAAGCTCTTGTAGGCTGACTACAGATATCTCCCTCTTTACATTCTGGACACACTCAGCTTTATGCTACATGAACTGCTTTTGTTTGCAGATGACAGGGTTTCTCAGCAATGTAAGAATGTGAAGTAGAAACAGTAAGAATGTGAAGTAGAAACAGTATGTGTCAGTAAGAACAAAGCAAAAAGTCAGTCTTGGTTTCCTTTCACTATCTGGTAGTTTGCAATTTTCAGAGCTCATCTCAGGTGCACTCAGCCCTCAGGTGCTGCATACACAAGTGCAAAAGGGGAAATAAAGGGCATAAATACAAGTACATAGACAAAATGGTTCTGTTTCACATGTAACTGCATAATACACACAAACAGATCTAGGTACTAGTCTACATTATTGGGAAAATCTCAGATCTGATGCAGTTTTTGGTCTACTGATAAGCAAAATTGCAACTTCTTAGCTTAGCTCTACTGTTCAGCCCACCTGGATATTATGAACGCTTTTGAGTAACCATACTGGTTTCATCTGACCCAGAGTGGGTAAGTTAAAAAGGGCTCTAACAATCAGTTTTAAAGTTCTGGGAATACATATCTTCAGTACTGATGTCACCATATCAATTAGCTTTTAAATGCAGCCCCCTAACTGTCACTGAGAGCTGCTTCTTCACTGTCACCAAAATTAATTATCCTTTGCATCAGGCCTCAAACTTACAGGCAATGAAGTGAACTACAAAAAAAATGGCCCAGTGTAGCCAGCAGCAAAGCACTGTCATTTACACAGCCTTTCTTCAGTCGAGGAGAAGCAACAGCAGCCTTGAGACTCAGCACTTTGGGGAGGGTGCAGCAAGCTATCTAAACCATATTCACTTACCAGCTCTGGCTTTTTTGCAGCAGTTGAAACCAAGTGGAAAACACCACCAAGAAAAACTCCTCGCTGCTCAGTTCGATTTGTCCTCTAACAGCTTATCTTGGGGAAGGAAAGAAAGTTCTGCTGGACATGCTTCATGTCTTCACAAAAGGAGTACAAAAGAAGGAAAGTCATGTCTCAGTTTCACTATTCCCAGCAGGCATACGTCCTGCATACTGTCAATCCAGTCCTGAATATTTATATCACTACCAGTTAACAGACTGTGTTCTTTCACAAACTGCCAGCCAAAGTGATTTCTCACAGCCAGGCAGCTGCTGTTCTTCTATGGCCTTTCCAAGGGCTCAACTTCAGAGTCACTAGATAAAGAACAGGCTAAACAAGGGGAAAATTCATATGTTCTTAAGTCTCAAAAAAAGAGAGCAGACAGATTCATCCACAGTCACAAGGATCAAGGGCACAAGAAGTAAACATATTTTTTTTTGATCCAAGATCTTTTGGAAGAGGAATTGTATTAGGAGATTCTATAGAAATAACATTAACATTTTGGTAGCTATGTCTATGAAGAGGGTGATTTGAGCATCACAACAGAGATGACATGTAGCCAGCCACATGCCTGCCAGCTTGAAGGGGTCAAACATTTTGCCTGATAGAGGAGGTGATGGATTTCAGAACAGTACAGGAACTGTAATTTCACACTTCCAACACACTGGATGTCACCCTGATTGTTCATCTAACGTGTTTGCCTCATGACTAAAGAAACTGGGATAGAAATTCATTTTGTCATCTCTTAAATCTGCAGCATCTGCCTCACCCTTTCTTAGCAGGATGTGCGGAATATAACATTTTACTAGCAATATTTGAAGAAGTTATCTTGTAAAGAGAGTCACGGACCTATCCCATGACTCATTCATCAGACAAGGGCTAATTCAGCCTGCTTACAGTATGGTGCCAGAATCAACTTTTCAGAGTGCTTCATTTCCAAAACTCCCCTCTAACTGAGGCAATTTACATCTCCAGGATAGTACAATTTTATTTTAATAAGCTGTCTTCTGAAATTGTTATGGAACTTCCTCATGCTCTGCAGAATCAGGGTAATACCAAATGCAAATCTTGTGATGTTAATTTTCATTCCTCTCCTAGGCTATCCACTGTTTTTGACAGTGGGCCAGACTCTAGGACATTACCTCTCAAAGAAAATAAATTTTCAGATAAGCACATATTCATTTTCCTATTCTCTAGCACGCTCTACAGACTCATGACACTGGCATTTTCAGAGGAGTGTGACTCCAAGATGAAGACAGGATCATCTTTGAAATGTGATCTTTGAACAAATAGAGATTATTCTACATACTCTTCATTGTTCCCTAGATATTGGAAAACACGTAATTTTACTAAAACTGCATGAGTAATATGAAGACTTTGAAATGCTTGTACCATACAGTTCAAAGGAGGCTTCCTGTAGTCCCATTAAAAAAGAAAAGAATGAAAAACACAGCTTCTAGTATTTTTACCTTTAACAATCGAGCTTTGCTCCAGCTGGGCACACTGATTTACCCCTGCAAGCCAGTATTTCCTTCCACCGCAACCTGCTAGATTCCCCCTTCCAAGAGACAACACAGAATTTCCTAGAGGAAGGAAGACTCATGGTTAGACCCTTCTGCACTACAAGTGTTCTAAGGACTCAGAGGCCACGTGCCTGGCATTCAAGTGTTTCCATGTCTGAAAGAGCAAGCTGGAATTCAGGTGCTGACAGATAACACCACCGCTGTGCTCCGTTAGGACTGGAGTTTTGTTCCTGTGTAACATCCAACTCTTTGGCTACCATCTTCTGTTATGAGGCCCAATATTTGCTAAACTTCATCCCCAGTCCAGGCCTATGATGGACTATTCTGACAGCATGCGTATGCACTATGAACTATCCTACTGTATTCTTAGCTCAGCTATTTGCCTAGAACAATAAACAGAAAAAAATGTTGAAAAAAAAAAAAAGTATTTTTTCCCCCTCCTTTTTTTTTTTTAAGCCAATATTGTTAGCTGCTTTGGAATAGGCCCTGGGACCATGTTTATATCAAACAGCTACAATAAAAATTAATAAAAGTTAAGAGATTAATTAACTACAGAGTAAACTGTGAGCCCTTCTCAAAGGTGGTAAAAAGAAAAGTCTAGAATATAAACTTTTTTCCAGCTTCTGAAGCAGAAGCCAGAATGGGAATGAGCTCAATCTATGTGGTGGTGCAACCCCCACTTCAGGCACTTAGGAACTTGGAATGATCCCCCTCCCAACCTGGGCTGCAGTACAGCACAACGGACCAGAATGTAACATAATGGTCTGACATGAAAGGAAGAAAAGGCAGAGAACAACAGACCAAGAGCACAGTAGTGTGACTAGTCCCCATGACTCCTATCACTTGAAGATAATAACTTTAATGGATCACTCCTGATACCATATGAATCGTGGCCACAGAGTGGGGGGGATACCTGGACCACGAGATCTAGCAAGCTCTGGGCTTGCATAACTTACCATCTGAGTCGATCCAGAGTGGAAAAGTATCTGAAAAAGTCAACTGTCTCAGATCCTGTTGTAAGTAGCAATTCTAGTAAAGACCCTTTGAACCCTTCTGGATCGCAGTGGGCTGTGGCCAGTAAATCTCCTGAGTTGAGATACCTCTCATGCTGACACCTCGAGGCCAGGGCAGTAGAAGACCCTTCTCAGACCTCAACTACTGGCCTTTAAGGAATGCCAATACATCATGAGTATTTACCCAAAATTCGAGAAAGGGACATTTTAACTATAGGCTAGTCCCTCTCTCTCACCCACCTCTCCATCTATATGTTGTGAGATACGCATTAGCTTTATGGATGTGGATGCTCTTTTGTCCATCTGTTAATGTACAGGACATAGAAGTGGCACCTTTTGGCTCGCTAGCATTATCTGCTTTCAAGAAATTCATGATCAGAGACCTGTGTATATATGTGTGCACACCCTTATATGTTTTGCTTACATGTATATGTATATGTACATATGTACATGTATATGTAACCTGGGATTTGTACTTCTACTCAGATGTACATGTATTGATTTGGGATATCTTCTAGTAAGTTAGTGTGAATCTTGCCATCTTCAAATCTTTAACTAAGTTGCTGTTCAATTATTTTCTTTACTCACTTCATAAATCCCTAAACTGGTTAATAATTAAGTGCTGGTAAAATTCAACCTCTCAATCTACCTTAGAATCATAGAATGGCCTTAGAATCATAGAATGGCTCAGGTTGGAAGGGACCTTAAAGATCATGGAGTTCCAACCCCCTGCCCTGGGCAGGGACACCTCCCACCAGACCAGGTTGCTCCAAGCCCCATCCAGCCTGGCCTTGAACCCCTCCAGGGATGGGGCAT